AGAGGGGGTCAACTGATTTCCCAAAGCTCCAGAGGGCAGAACAAGAAACAATGGATAGAAACGAATCAAGGAGAGAATAGAGCTGGAATTAAGGAGAAACTTCCTAATGGCGAGAACCACCAACCAGTGGAACAGAAGTTGCCTTCAGAGGTTGTGGTTTCTCCAGGACTGGAGGTTTTTAAGCAGAGACTGGACTGCCATTTGTACAAAATGGTGTATGGTCTCCTGCTTGAGCAGAAGATCTCCAAGGTCCCTTCCAGCTCTATTCTGAATTGAATCTTATGAACAATCCTCTCATCATCATATGTGAGGACAGAATACATCCATGGGAATCCAAATCAGTTACTGTAACATGGCCACCTGAAATATATCCAGGATCAACAGAGAATAACGAAAGAAGAGGTAAAAAGAGGAACAGGAAACCATCTCTTTCCTCCAAGTGAAATTCTTTTTATCCAAAACTATTAATGAGATGCACACTGAATTTGCATAAGGGAGTAAAGCCAGATCCTTGGGGGGGTTTAAAAGGAAGAAGGCAGTTTCCCAACCTGAGTTTCCGAAAAGATCAGTTCCCCATCATGGCCTGGTCTCTGCTCTTGGCTTTCTTCTTCTTATGGTGCACAGGTAATTTAGGAAGAATTCTCACCTCTGGATTCATCTGCTGGTTTGGAAAGCATCAGCTTCATGGAGTAACTATGGTGTGGTTCTGATATAAAAACCACCCCTTCCATGCCTTCCAATCCATCAGAATTCAGTGATGTCTGGATTTCAAGCAGAGCAGTTCTTCACAAAATACTCCAACAGTGGATCTATAGAGTGTCCATCTTCATTCTCTTCCTTTTTTTATTTTCAGGAGCCAACTCACAGTTTACCTTGACTCAACCTGCAGCACAATCGTTTCCCCCCGGACAACCAGCAAAGATCTCGTGTACCATGAGCCAAAGCAGGCATGTGGGCAGCTATACCATATATTGGTACCAACAGAAGGCTGGAGAGAGCCCCAAATACCTTCTCTCTGATAGCAACAGCAACGGACGATTCACAGGGTCCAAGGACACCTCGGCCAATGTAGCCTATTTAACCATTACAAACCTCCAGGATGAGGATGAGGCTGATTACTATTGTGGTGGTTATTACAACGATGGCAGCAACTCCTGCCCAGTTTCACTTCTTCTCACTCTGCTTGGCTAACCACCTGTTGCAACGGAAGAGAACACCTGAAATTGTTTTTCTGATTGCATGTCTACATGTCTGCAAGCAAAAGTAGGGGGAAGAAGGTGTTAAATCTCCCTGGGGAACACCCTATTCAGAAAGATCATTCTGATGCCATACTAATGTCAGATTCCTGGGGCCCATAATGCTGTTAAGACAGGCAGGGGACCAAGGCTTTTGTCTTCCAAGCTTTCGAACTCATGCTGGAGCCCATACTCGGGGAACTTCTCCTTCTAGGAATCTCCTCATTCCTAATCTATGATCTTAACTTCTACACGTGGTTAACCATGTGGGATGTGGTTGCAGAGCCTTCCCTGAATTCATAAAAAATACCTCCTTCCCCTTTTGAAAAGCATATTAAAAAAGACAAAGAAAAGCTGTCTCAACTAAGCTTTGAACATTGGGTGGAGCTCTCTCTACATCGTTGAAATATTTTAAGAGGAGAGACGATGTCAGATTAAAACTGATTCCCTTAATCTTGGTTGACAGGATTGTGGACATATCAAGCCAGGAAACGTGGCAAATTTGTGCAACAGGGATTTCAGTTAGAAAAGTATTTTTACAGAATTCCTAAATTCGGCTGAATTGTGGACTTTCTCCTCCACCAATTTCTTGGCTGAAGAGATGATTCACGAACACAACAAATATACCAGAATCTTGTACTAAATATGACAAAAGGGAATCAGTTTTAATC